CACAGTTACAAAGGTACATAGCTGAAAAGAGACTTGCGTCCATCAAGTTCAGCCTTCCTCACATTTGTTTTTTGCTGTTGATCCAAAAGAAGGCAAAAAAAAACCCAGTTTGAAGCACAATTTTGCAACAAACTAGGAAAAAAAATTCCTTCTTGACCCCAAAATGGTAGTCAGATTTATCCTTGGATCAAGCAGTTATTACCCTACATTGAAAGATTATATTCTTGAATATTCTGTTTTTGCAAGTATGCATCTAGTAGCTGTTTTAACATCTGTATGGACTCTGATAAAACCACTTCTTCAGGCAGAGAATTCCATCCATTCTATATCCTTATTGTTCTAATGGTAAAAAACCCATTTCTTTGCCTTAGACTAAATCTTCTTTCTTCCAGTTTAAACGCATGATCTTGTGTCCTATGTAAAGTCCTGTATGTGAATAGATTTCCACACAATGGTTTGTTATGGCCATGGGTATATCTTTATAATGTTATCATATACTCTCTGAGGCAACATTTTTCTAAACTAAAGAGCTTTACATTTGTTAACCATTCTTCATTGCTAAAATGTTCCATTCCTTTTATTAATTTTGTAGTCCGCCTCTGCACTCTTTCTAGTGCAATAATATCCTTCTTTAGAACAGGTGCCCAAAATTGCACAGCATATTCAAAATGTGGTCTTACCAGCAATTTATAAAGAGGCAAATTATATTCTCATCCTGAGAATTAATGCCCTTTTTAAAGCATGACAATGCCTTACTAGCCTTAGCCGCTGCTAATTGACATTGCACATTGTTGCATAGTTTTTGTCTATAACAATTCCCAAGTCCTACTCATGTGTGGTTATCTCTAATTTTCTTCCATTTGGATATAAGTTGCTTGTGCATTCTTGATGCCAAAGTGCATAACTTTGCATTTTTCTACATTAAATTTAATCTGACATTTGAGTGCCCAGTCCCCCAGTCTATCTAAATCCATCTGCCTTAAAGTAATATCTTGCTCACATTGTATTACTTTACAGAGGTTTTTTGTCATCTGCAAACACTGAAACATGACTTTCAATGCTTTTTTCAGGATCATTTATAAACAAGTTATATAGAAGGGGTCCCAAAACAGAACCCTGAGGGACACCACTTGCCACCTTTGTCCAGCTTGAAAATGTACCATTAATGACAACTCTCTATACTCTATTTTTAAGCTAATGTTATACCCAAGAACAAGAATTTTCATCTAGACAGATTTCTTTGAGATTGAACACTAATCTATTGTGTGGAACTGTATAAAACGCCTTGGCAAAATCCAAGTAGATCACATCCAATGCAACACCCTGATCTATATTTCTACTTACTTCTTCGTAGAATGCAATCAAGTTAGTTTGACATTACCTGTGCTTCATAAAACCATGCTGGATTTTGCTGAAAACTGTTCTTTTCAAGAAATTCTTGAATATAATCCCTTAATAACCTTTCAAATACTTTCCCAGCCACAGAACTTAAGCTCACAGGTCTAGAATTTCCAGGCAACCCTTTTTGATTAAAGGAACCACATCCACCTTCCTTCAAATTGTTCGGAAAACGTCCTGAAAGAAAAGAATCTTGAAAGATTAAAAACAGAGGTTCACTTATTTCTACACTTAGTTCCTTCAGTACTCGTGGAACTTTGTTATATTAACTTTCTTTAGTTGCTGCAGCACCTTGCCTTGAGTTAGCCAATTACAATTTTTCTGCATGCTTTTTGCAGCAATCATTTGCATATCTATTTCCATAGGTTCTTCCTTAATATATACGTTCTATGTATAAAGATCAAGTATAACAGCAAAAAACAGTAAATTAAAGAGCACTTAGATCAAAAAAGTCAGTGTAAACAAAAACAGTCTATATAATTATACACTCTCACAGAAAATCAATAGTGCATAGTGCCGCTTTAAATTAATTAATGTACTTGGGGGACCAAGGCACCCATATATACACTGCCTGGCCTATTTGATAGTTACTGCATGGGCAATTATCTTTCAGCTGGCAACAAGTTATTAACCCCAACTGATGCAATGAGTAGCTTCTCATTTCTTAAACAACCATGTCGAAAGACACATCCCGTGGTCGTGGAAAAGATGTTAGTCTGTTTGAGAAGGGTCAAATCATTGGTATGCATCAAGCAGAGAAAACACTAACAAGATTGCAGAAACTACGAAAATTGGGTTAAGAATTGTCCAACGCATTATTAAAAACTGGAAGGATAGCGGGGAACTAATGTCTTCGATGAAAAAATGTGGTCGAAAAAAAATCCTGATTGATCTTGATCAGCGATCACTTAAACGTTTGGTGAAATCAAATCATAGAAAAACAACAGTAAAACTCAGGGCTATGTTTAATAGTGAAAGTAAGAGCCTTTCCACATGCACAATGCGAAGAAAACTCAAGGGATTGGGACTGAACAGCTGTGTAGCCTTAAGAAAACCACTAATCAGTGAGGCGTATCGGAAAAAAAAGGCTTGAATTTGCTAGGGAGCATAAATAGTGGACTATGGAGCAAAGGAAGAAGGTTATGTAGTCTGGTGAGTCCAGATTTACCCTGTTCCAGAGTAATGGGCACATCAGGGTAACAAGAGAGGCAGATGAAGTGATGCACCCATCATGCCTAGTGCCAACTGTAAATGTCTGTGGGGGCAGTGCTATGATCTGGGGTTGTTGCAGTTGGTCAGGTCTAGGTTTAGCAACATTATGTGCCCAAAGAATGATGTCAGCTGACTATTTGAATATACTGAATGACCAGGTTATTCCATCAATGGATTTTTTTCTTCCCTGGTGGCACAGGCATATTCCAAGATGACAATGCCAGGATTCATCGGGATCAAATTGTGATCCATTTTCACACATGGATTGGCCACCACAGAGTCTAGACCTTAACCCCATTGAGAATCTTGGGATGTGCTGTGGAAGGCGTTGCGCAGTGGTTGGACTCTCCCATCATCAATACAAGATCTTGGTGAAAAATTAATGCAACACTGGATGGAAATAAATCTTGTGACATTGCAGAAGCTTATCAAAACAATGCCACAGAGAATGCCGTAATCAAAGCTAAAGGTGGACCAACAAAATATTAGAGTGTGTAACCTTTTTCTTTGGTGGCGACCTTTTTTTTTTTTTTTTGGCCAGGCAGTGTATGTTGTCTTGGAGGTAGCTGCATTAAAATAGTAATATATACATATATTATAATAAAGTGTGGGTTAAGTTAAGCTAATCCTTCATCACCAGAACTAAGTCACGCACACTTGAAATACAGTGCATTCGTAAAACCGACCACCGGATTGTCCTGGCTCTGCCTCCCACTGACATGCATAGTGACACATTTTGCTCGTCTGCTGAGCTTCTTCTGTTATCTACAATATGTTTTTATTGGAGATTTAAAGTAGATTCAGAAAAGTAGATAAAGAAGATAAAGTAGATATAGAGGGCCAGGAAATGAGGTACTTAAGCCGTCATTAGATATTTTCACAATCCGTTAATCTATATTCTCTTAGCAGACTAATGAGGTACTCTGCTTACTGACTAATTTTCCCATAGACGTCAAAGGAGGAATTACTATGCAGTAAACTGAGTAAACCTTACTGTGCTATGAGGATTCAGCCCATTGCGTGTTATTCAGACATATAGCAGAATGCTAGAAGCTCTCAACCAGACATTTCTGAAACTAGAGTGAATGTCCTTCTAAAGCAGAAGTGTTTGCATCTGTGTACATGAGGTGAGTCTTTATGAAACAGCTTTAATATAGCTGGGCTTTTATCATTTTACATTTGTGAAACATTTCAAGAAAAAAAAGTACGTCATATTATGAAGTCAGTACAAAATGACTCCCAAAAACACTTTATTAAGCCCCCTATGGATGAGTCTCAACTGCCATACACCATAAAACATTCTAAAAAAAACACCCAACCACAAAGAATATATATATATATATATATATATATATATGTATGTAAAAACCAGATCAAATTCTTATCTTGTAATACCTTTTTTATTGGACTAACATAATTTTTTAATGACAAGCTTTAGGGAGAACCTCCCTTTCTCAAGTCTGAAGCATTTCTGAGAAAAACGACACATAGAATTCAAAGTTGAGTTGTGATACAGGGGTTAAAGCGACATGAGTGTAGATAAGACACAGGTTTGTTAGAAAATAGACACCATCTTAGCAGAGGGTCATAAATATCTTGTTGAAGAGCAGAGTGAGAGGGGAGAGAGGGAAAAAACAAACAAACAAGCAGAAAGTGCACAGGATGGTACACTTTATACATGCACACACACATAAATATGTATACATGAACGCATAAACACATATACATACATGCACATGAACTCATATACACAAATATAAATGCACAGTAATATATATAAGCATTCATGCATACGAGTATGGGAAAGCATAGGTCTACACATAGTACTTTGTATATAGATAGAATAAACATATAGGAATGCATTTTAAAGTGTTGGTACATATGACAGAATAGTAAGATAATGCTGGGAGAGTATTCATGTAAAGTGTTGGTAGTGGGACAGGAATCCCAAATCAATATTTAGTCCTCTATTCTTGCTGTTAAACCATTTGATCATTCTGGCTTCAAAGACTTTTCTTTCCTGGGTATTTTTAAAACCCCCTTTCAGTACTTTGATTTTTAGGTCCTTCAATGAGTGGCCAGGCTGGGTAAAGTGGTGTCCCACAGGAGTGCAGTATGATTCTACTTTGTGGTGTTTAATAGAGTGTCTGTGCATATTCATTCTGCCATTTAATGGCTGGATGGTTTCCCCAATGTAGCATCCTAGGTGGCATTTTATGCATTAAATCATGTATACCACATTGCTGGATGTGCAGGAGTATGAACCTTTAATGCTGTAGGTTTTATTGTTGTGTGTGCATATGTGCTGACACAGTTTGCAGCGAGGTGTTTTTGCATTGACTAGTCCCGTTTTCTTCATTCTTACCATCAGTGGGCAGCTTTCTGTTGATTCATTTTTGTTGGAGGTTTGGTGGTTGTCTGAAGGCCAAAATGGGTGTTTCAGGGAAAATGTTTTTCAGAGTCTCATCTTCTGTTAATATTGATTGTAGGTCTTTGAAGATTTTTCTTATTTCCTCAAGAGCTGGGTTGTAGGTGACCACAAGTGGCACTCGTGTGGATATTTTTTTCTCTCTGTACTGTAGCAGGCGCATGCGTGGCGTTTTTACAGCAGAGTTGATTTGTTTGGTAATAGTCGTTGGTTTGTAGCCTTTCTGTCTCATAGATTTGGAGAGTACATTTAGATGGGAATTACGGTCATTAGGATCAGAGCATATGCGATGGTACCTAGTGGCTTGGCTGTGGATGATGCCCTGTTTAGTATGAGAGGGGTGGAAGCTGGAGCTGTGTAGGTAACTGCACCTGTCTGTGGGTTTTCTGTAAACCGAGGTGTGGATTGTGCCATTATTACATGTCACAGTGGTGTCCAGAAAATTCACAGATCTAGTGGAATATTCCATTTTTAGTTTGATTGATGGATGGAATGTGTTGAAAGAGTCATGGAACTGTATCAGTTTTTCTTCGCTTTCAGTCCAAACTATGAAGATATCATCGATATAGTGATAATATTTATATGGTTTGGTGTGTTGGATTTCTAGGAATCTCTGTTCAAGATCTGCCATAAACAGATTAGCATATTGGGGTGCCATCGTAGTGCCCATAGCAGTGCCCATGGTTTGTAGGTAAACCTCATTGTTGAAACAGAAGTAGTTATGTGTGAGGATAAACAGTGCCAGTTCTGTGATAATTCGGGGGCTGTATTTTTGGTTGTTTACATGAGAGAGAAAATGGTAGCAAGCATTGATGCCATCTGTATGTGGAATGTTGCTGTACAGAGATTCCACATCCATGGTTACAAGGATGGTGTTAGCAGGGAGATTAGTGATTTGGCTGAGTTTGTTGAGGAAGTCGGCTGTGTCTTTTATGAAGCTGTTAGTGTTGGTGACTAGAGGTTTTAGGGTATTTTCTACCAGTCCTGAGATCTGTTCTGTGAGAGTTCCCATTCCTGGAATTATGGGTCTTCCAGGATTACCTGTTTTGTGAATTTTGGGAAGCATATAGAAAGTGCCCATACAGGGACTAGTTGGTATGAGTGATTGCAGTTCTAGGTGTAAGTTCTCAGGGAAGGATTTAATGAGCTCCCTAAGTTGTGATGTATATTCCTTGGTGGGGTCTTCATTTAGTTTTCTATAGTATTTGTCATCTGACAATTGCCTGTCACCCTCTTTTATGTAGCCCTTGGTGTTCATTATCACTACTGCTCCTCCCTTGTCTGCTGGTTTGATGGTGATAGCATGATTATTTTTCAGGTCATTTATAGCCATTTGTTCCTGTACTGAGAGATTATGAAACATTTTCTTTTGGTTTTGCTTGGTTGTCAAGGATACTGTTCTTAGACGGAAACTTTCAATGTAACTATATATAGTGTTCAAGTATATAAAAAACAAAAAGGTTATGGTGGGAAAAAATTGTGATTGAAAATCCCTTCCACCTAAAGTCTGTGGATAGTTAATACAATGTTAAACAAAAATCTGCACACCAGTCAAGCCATAAGACTTGCTTTTCCCACAGAAATTACAAATCTGCAGTGATGTTACTACCGCAAAGGATTCTGGGTGGGCATGTGCAAATTGGTTTAACAAAGAATACAATTTTTGCCTAATTCCATTTTAAACATATACTTTGAGTCTGTTTGTTGGATACAACAGCTTTGAACCATAACTTAGGTAAAGATGCAAAGCCAGTGAACCACTCATGGACAGCTGTTTCATTGTTTTATATATATATTAAATATATATGAACATATATCCCATCCCTTCCTCCATCCCTTGGGTGGTGATTAAACCTTTCAATGGACTGAAATATTAGATGATTAGACTTGGATCCATACATCCAAAAATACTTTCCTACCAGAAGTTTTGGATTTAATGTGGTCCCTAACCTTATTTTCGAGGGGTCTCTCCATCCTCCGCACATACTGAAATATTGAAGTTGGCCATTTTTACAGGTGTGTGATTAAATAAATATCATAACTACTGTTACATTTTACATACCCATTTATTTTATATTGTTTACCTGTAACAGTAGCTTTTAAAGAAAATGACACTTTAGTATGACTACAGCACATACATCTAGAACTCCCAAATGTCTAGTTTCCCTCTCTGTGCAATCAATTGTTCCTTATTTCACATTACACAACCTAAGCAGGAGACAAGAAACATCACCATTTATCTTTTTCTTTTGTCCTCTTTTTCACTTTCCTTTTTTATTCTTTTCCTTTGCTTCACTATTACTGTAGGTTTATTTTCTAAAACATGACATTTCAGAGCTCAAAAAAGAAACCTTACATTTTATGCAAAATAGACATACTGATGTATAATTTCCAAATCAATTCTATTTTCCGATTTTTTATTTATTTTTTTTATTTGAAATTCACTTTGTATTCCCAAAAAAATATATACTTTTTTGGGTTCACCACAATATTATAAACAGGGCATGTTCATAAATTAAGAAAATGTAATCCATTTAATTTTTGTTTTATATTTCTTTCTATTTATTTATTTAGCAAATTACTTACCTGGAGCAATAAATGCAATCGCATTAATTCATCTGTTTTGCTGTAGCAAAGCTCTGTTAGTACTCCAGCCATGTTGACATGTACCAGGGAATACATATTTTTGATTATGTACAGTATTTCTTCCATTTATACAAGATAACCACTTTATATTCTTTAAATGTTCCTTAAGGCTACATCTGCATCCTTATTAAATTCTAACTATCTCTATATAAATGATAAACTCCCAAGCTAAAATTCAAATTGAGAACTCCAAAATACAATTAGGAAGAAAAGTTATGTTGTTATTTTTTCAATATTTATACATTTCCCTATTTAATACTAGTTTTTAGCTGATACTCTTACTAGTGCTGACATTTTTGTAATAAAACCATGATGAAACTTTTATTCCCCTCTCCCGGTCTCAGAAAATATATTCAATTTGATCATAGATGTGATTTTTACCCCTGTTGAAACTAATTGTAATTATCACGTCTAAAGTCAGTGAACTGGATTATTAGCAGACGTTTTGTACCATTAATAATTAACCTAGTTTGTCTTATTTAAAACATTTACAAGTACCCAAATAAATGTGTGTCCTTGAATTTACTCTACACTTTAAACTCTGTAGAAGGGCATAATATTTAGGAGCAAAAACAAATGCACATAATTTTTTTTTAAATTAAACCTTGGATATTTTTCAAAGCATATGCTAGAAAGACACATATGAAAATACATTTTTCTATTACATAAGAACCTGATAATTAAAGGAAAACCACAAACACATAGTGCTTTATATGTGAAATGTGTGACCTTTGTTTCTTTTTTATAAAAGTGCTCAATTGAAATCAGCACTTTTATAAATGACCCTTGTTACAATTCCAAAGCTGTCAATCAGACTGCCGATCCTGTTACTTGTTGGAAGTTAAGCTCTGTGGAGCTAAACTCGAGAATCAGGCAAGTGCCGATAGCCCCACCTGCAAAACTCCTCAATGAGTTTTAATACAGCACATGAGAAGTTTGTGATAAGACGGCCACAGAAAGTTATTGCTTGTGCAGAAGAAGAGGGTTTGCAGTAGCTGCAGATACTAAATATACTCTCAAAGAAAACATACAAAACAAATTATATCTTTATTTTTTTTGAAGGGTATATCTACTAAATAGTTTTGTTTCTTTCTTTTCTTTTTTTTTTAAACCCCTTAGTGACCATCGACATAACTGGTTACATCTGAAAAAAAAATGTCCTTAATGATACGTCCACGGGGAATTAGAGGTACCTGATATGTCCACGGGGAATTAGAGTGCTGGAAGCGATCATGATGTACACCTCTGTGTACACCTTCCATGTATATGAAGGAAGGGGTAGCCACCTTGATCCCCCAGGTTGCCCAGATATAGTAGGGACAAGCGGAATTAAAGCGTTTCTTTCATTTTAATTTCAGTTCATTTCTGGGTTGCTTGAGTGCCACAGCAGGGGGGACCATTAGTGGAGCCTATCATAAGATTGCAGGCAGATCACTTCTGCTTCAGGATTCCACCAACCCTCAAAAAGAAAAAAGACCCAGAGAAAAGGTGCAGGGTGTGTTACAAGAGGGGAATAAGAGCTAACACCAGTTATTACTGCTCTGATTGCCCCTCTCAGCCCAGCCTATGTATTGGCCACTGTTTTAAAATTTTCCACAACCAGGCACACCCAGGCCGAATAAGTAGACCGGTTTTTGGGTGTGATTTTAGTCATCTGTCTGATTGTTTGGTTACCGAATCTTGGCTTTGTCTCCCGTTTATCCTGTCTTCTGTGATCCTTGACCTTGTTTTATTGTTGTTCCGTTTCTCTTTACTCCTTTGACCTCGGCTTTTAACTTGACTATTCTCGGCTTGTATAGCCCGGCCATTCTAAGGACTGTTATTACAAGTTTCTCTCTCTGTGTTCTCTATCCTTGTGGTCTGTCTGTGTGTTTTGGTATATATATATATATATGCACACACACACACACACACACACATAATACGTGTGTATGTATGTGTATATATATATACACACACATATACTACGTGTGTATATAATACGTGTGTGTATACACACACACATTTTTATTTCCTATATATGTATAATATATTATAATGAAAGCATTTTATAATATATTACACATATACAATGCATATATATGATTTCATTATAAGTGTATTTTGAGATATATATGGATATATCTCAAAGTACACTTATAATTAAATCATATATATGCATTATATATGTATAATATATTATAAAATGCTTTAATTATTTAATTATTTAATAATTTATTTAATAAATATTATACATGTATATGTATAATATATATATATATATATATATATATATATATATATATAATTATTTTTTACTTTCTAGCAGCCTGAGGGACTGTCTGACAGCTCACACAGTCTCCCTGTTGGCAGCCCTAGACTCCTATTGTGGCGATGCGATCATGGTGATCACATGGCCCTGGAGGTCAGGGGTGGCCAGAGCTGCTGCAGGGGGATTGTTGGCATCTTCAGCAGTCCCCCCCGACTGTGACCGCAGCAGATCGCTGGTCCAGGTAAGTCCACGACTCCTATTTGCCGCTGTTGTACTAGGTACGTCCGTGGTCCTTAACGACCTTTTTGTCGGACATATGTTAAGGGGATATTAATGCACGTTAAGGGGATATACATAGATATATATATTATTTCATAATGAGCCCCTAAGAAGAAGATCGATCGCTGGTGGGGGAACGGCGGCGATCAGTAAGTACATGGGGAGGAAGGGAGTGTAGGGGTTAATTAATTAATTAAATTATTTTTTAATTAACTGCATTATTTTTTAACTTTAACTGTGTTCCTCGAACCCTCGACCCCATCAGGCAGGCTTACGATGCTCTGCCTCACTGCTGGGCTACTCGTGGAGGGATCACCCGGTGTTCTCTGGCGGCCACTGGCAGCTAGGGGGGTATTGCAGTGATGCCTCAACATCAAGGCATCACTGCAATACCATTAGAGCTACTGGAAGCAATATTTGATCTAATATTATAACTTTTAAAATGTATTGTTTTTAACACCCAAATGTTTTGCTGTATTTACTATATTGCAATCTGTCTACTTGTGCACAGTGCCAGAAAATCATAATATGTATAACTACATATAGAAATAATGTATAGAAATAAAATCTGCTCAAAAATGCAACAGTGGGGATTCCACATTAAGCTGAAGAGGGTTGAAGGTACTTTGATTGATTACAATAAGCATACACTGGAGCATATACATTCCAAGAGCTTATATCATTCTCCAATATCAAGTGTAACACAATTTATTTTATCTCTTTCCATTTTTTTAATTTTTTTTTTTTAATTTAAATAAAATTAGAAAACTAGTATATTGTCTCTATATTGTCTTGCACACGATGCAGGTTAAAGTATATAGAGTATGTAAAATGATACATCACTCTCTATCACTACAGTCTAGAGGATGCATCTTACTATGAACAATGAGATATTTGTGCTGTGTAAGAGACTTTGCTTTCTGTTCCATGGTGGTTAACACCAAAAGTAGTGAAGTTTATAGTATGCAATCCTCTATTGACCCCAAGACAAAGTAGCTTGTGTTGTTCTAAAACAATAGATCTACACTCTATATTTTTTAAATATATTTTATATTCAATTAACCTCTTGATGAATGACCATTTTCTGAGTTTCTATCATTTTATGATTGAAGCCTTTTTAGTTTTTTTGCTGTTTGTTTGTTACTTGGTAATTTTCT